TTTCCCTTATAATCATGATGTGCATTGTGTGAACTACAACCACAGACATTTTTTACGTAGAAAAAAATACCTTGACACATATACTGGACCTGGTAGGTGAAAAAGCTTAAGTGTTTGCCTCAACAGATGAAAAACCTACCTAAGCAATGCAGTTACAAGTACTCCTTATAAACCAACTTATGGATTAACATGCAATGCTCTGGTGAAATTTAATACAAAATTAACTACTCACCTTTTGCATGATTCCCTTTTCATAATAATAGCGAAGTGATCGGCTAAGTTTATCATAGTTCATAGCTGGCCTATTTTTCTGAATCCCCCAGCGACGTGCCACCTGCCAGAAAAATGGATTAGTATCGATTTGTTAAATGCATTTAACAAGCAGATCTTACCATCAGATACTTTATTTGGGGATGGAGGAGGGGGAACCCTGCAGGTGCAACAAATAAGCACAACAGAAAAGGTTGCCATGACCTTACTTTCCCATGTTGTACTACGATTTTTGGACACACGGTCATCCATTAAACTTGAAGCAGACTTACAAATTTGCAAATGTGGTGGAGGGTTGGGGAGTTTTTTGTTTGTTTTTAATAAAGAAAACCAATCAAAAAAAAAAATTGAGCCATATAAAAAGATGATACACAAAAAATATTTATCAAGTTCCACCAGGAAACCTTCATGAAAGATGAAAAATTTTCTTTAGTTTGATACTGAGGATAATTGTACTATTCCTGTGTTTTCATTGCTGTCAGAACACTAAGTTGTATTAAAAACCACATGTGTACACACTTAGTTCATGAACTAATACAGACTGTACTTGGAATGACAGTGATGTTGAGATTGTTAGGAGATACAAGTCAAAAGCCAACTCCCAGTCTTAAATATTACTTCAGCAAAGAAAATGAATTATCAGAGGAGGCAGGATAATTGCTTGGAAGAACTATATGGTAGAATGAAGAATGGGACAGAAATTTCATAGTTGCAGTTGTATAATTTCCCTTAAAAAATAATAATAAAAGGGGAGTTGCAAGCAACTCGTGAAGCCATTCCATAGAGAACAGTATGCCTTCTGCTCTGACTTATGATTTCTACTTGTCTTTTTGCTTCCTGTTTTATTGCCAAAGGTAGTTCTGGACAAAGAGACCTTTTGTTTGAAGAGCTTAACTGCTTATTCCCCACCTGAAATTATAATTGGCTGTTGGTGACATTTCAATTACTGGCTGTACAAATGACTATCATGTCACCAGAGGGGAAAGAAAGTCAGAGCTGATGAACTCTTTATAGCACGTTTTATAAAAATGTTTGAGAGGTGCATACGCATACAGCTCTGCAAAAGGGAGAGGATTAGCCAAGCAGCTTCCCTGCAGACTCCTCTATGAAACTTTCCCAGCGGTGCCTGGAGCCTTTTGATGCAAACCATAGATGACATGCAGCACTGAGAATTGAAGGGGACTAAATAACAACAGCAAAATCCATTACTTTGATCTCCATATGGACAATAATTTTTTAAAATTTCTTTTTAAAGCATTATGTCCTTTCAATGGTGCAGCTTTTCAGGCTTATGTAAATTATCATGGCTCTGCTAACTTCAGCTATATTATAGCTGTATTGAAACATACCTCCAATCATGTCAATTTATTCCAGCTGTAGATTTGGTCTAGATGCGTAACCTTGATTCGCCTATTCATCTTTGTAACACATGCCTACATCACTCCATTTATTCCTGCCAAGTTTTTTTCTGCATTAATCAGAGTTCTAAAAGTCCCTAATATAACAGGCTTGCATAATAAATAAATACACAGCAAAGATAACTACAACAAAATAACGGTTGAGAACATGTTCTGTTGTGTGGTCTTTTGACATTCCTAAATAAGCAAGCAGGTCCAGAAGTAGTCTCAGTAAGTGAGTCTTCCTGTCCCTGAACAGCACAGCATTTTCAAGTCTTGCTCTGTGGAAGGGATTCAGGCTTCTAGCCTTCCACTCCACCTTCCTGCTGAAGGTTACTGTCCCTGTGACAAGGCAGCATAAATGGACCTATGCCCAATTCTTAGTCTCCACAGTTCACAGTTACCTACTTTCTGAATGAACTATGGTGCTCAAGGAGCTGATACATATTCATTTTTGTTGTCACCCTTTCTACAAGGGCATAAACCTCCAGAAAGGGATGGAATGGAAAGGTCATGTCATTGACATCCTAACCTGTCACAGCTGAACCAACAAGCCCTTTGACTTCCCTTCAATTTACACTTGGCAATCAACAGAAGTGTGCAACTTCCCATAGGCTATTCTTATTTTAATTGAAAGTTCCTGTCAGATCCATGACACTTGTATGAAAACAACTTAGGCTCCCTTGTACTCCCTAAGAGCACAGAGGCGTGAGCAAGTTTCAAGTAGCCTACCTCCTCCAGATCTTGGATGCAGCACTGCTCAAAAACACAAAGCAACTGCTACAAAGTCAGACAAGCAGATGATCTGGTTAACTTAAATCAGAATATCCAATTCTTCAGGGAATTACACAAGAAGGAAACCTTAGGGTTTTGTTTTACTAATTCCCTTCCTTAGCTAATAAAATCTGTAAAGTTTTTGCACCATCTGCTGGAAACCATTTTTCAATAAATCTCTTCAGTCTTGAAAAACTTTGGACATACCTTAAAGACAAGACAAAACTAAGAGGCTAAAAAGTACCGAGACCAGGGCGGGGGGAAAAAAATCAGATATCTCCTTCACCAAAATCAAGCAAAAAGCCTTTCCAAAGACTTCACACTGTTCTGAGCCAGGCCACACAACTAAGAATTCCATGTAGCCTGGTAAGGCTGCAGACTTGCCAGCAAAGTTTCAGTATCAGATCAACCGAGACTGTTCTGTGGTGAAATCCTCAGATGCACAATGCCAGGATCTGCCACAGGGACTATGTGGGGGGGAAGTGCGGGGGAAGCTCAGACAAACCAGAGCCAGCCCACGGGTCCCTGTAGCAACCTGCCCCTCAGCCAGACCATGTTGGGAAGGGAAACGGACACCAGTCCTGCCTCCATCCCCAGCTACTCTATCATCCTCTTAGGGCAGTTGGCAGACAACGTAACTTCAACGCAAGAAAGCTTTCAGATTGCTTATGCCAGCAGATGGATGGCAAACAGCAGAAATAGCTGGTGGAATGCTGAAGCAGCCTTACACCCCTGAACTTTCCTACTCAACTCTAACTCAGAGGGGATCCTGATGGAAAATTTGCTGTGGTCTCCTCTATTACCCAACCCTGTCCAAGGGGCAAAAAAGTAAACCAGGATGATACTGCTTTTTGACAACCCTAATCAAATCATCCACATCAGTATTACAATAACATTCAGGCACAACAGATTTTCTAACAGTTTCCATGGCTCTTCAGAACACCGGATAGATTATTTAATGTTACCTAGTCAAAAAAAGTTTATGTAATAAAATGTTCAATTTATTCCCATTTATCACACAAGTGAACTAAGTCATGCTTCAGCAAATGTTCATGAATACAAGTAATTTTATCTACCCCACGAGTCCTTCATGGTTCAAGGGAGCTGTGCATGTGCATGAGTGTTTGCAAGCCTAGGACCTAAGTGTGCGCTAAACAATCTAATGGTCCAGATAAGCAGGAAGACTCTGAAGACAGCTCTAAAAAGAGGGGAGCTTATATAATTTTGATGGGATTTTACTGCCTAACATTCTTAACTTCCTCTTTTCCCATCTGTCAGACTTGGGGTCTTTCACTCTACAGCTAAAAGTTCCAAGTTCCCACATCTTCACGCTGAAGAGTATTTGGTGTTGAAAGACTATTCAGGGACAAGTTTCAAAGGATTTTGGAACACAGCTCTATCCATGAAGTGGTTCTGAAAAATCCCAGCCCCACAATTCATGCTGAGCATTTTGTAACTCTAGTACTTGCAATATTTTTATTATTTTGCGGGACTAGGAATCAAGTCTACACTTAGCACACCTCTGTCCTAACTGAAGCACTTCCCTTGCCAGTCCTTTCTGTCACCCTTCTAAAGTGCTACTGAAGCAAAATATTGAAGGAAAAAGGCCTAATTCCAAAGGAGCACTATTAAATTTGCAGGATGGGGCAGTGGATGTCAGGGCATGCTGTCCATCTAACCCACCTCCTCTGGCTCAATCAGCTTGAATTCCATGCCTCGGCCAGTCCACGCTATGAAGTGAGAGTTTGATGGGTCATCAAGAAGAGCTACCAAGAACTGCCACAGCTGAAGCGAGCCTCGCCTTTGATACGTGGGTCCCTCGCGGTACATGCCTGGCTCCTGTTTGACGTCACCTGCACAGAATAGCAACAACATTAGATGAGCAATGTGCAAAAAGCATCATCACTTGGTTTGTCAGATAAACAGGCAAAGCAATCATTAGAGTTAATAAAACAGAGGGAAAGAATTCTTACTACCCAATCACCCACAAATGCAACATTCCCCTGTAGGCTGCTAATTGTAAACACTTACAATAACATATGCATATACTAAAAAGTACCTAAATTCAGTCATGATCTATGAAAGTCTCCCTAAGCCTATCCCCATTTACATCTGATACATGCAAATCTCGCTTGCAAACCATTTTGCAACATCCTCTATCTGAAAGAGCATGAACTATTTTTGTAAGCAACTCTGATGTCTGAAGAACTGCATTTGTGTACTATGCTTTGCAAAAGCCCCAGTTTTGGAAATGTAATGTATGCTTCATAAAGCTGCAAAACCCCGTTGAGTGAAACTTCTTTTGCATGCAAATGCTTCTAAGAAAAATTTGACGAAGTATTTGACTTGGACTTAAACAGCATATGCTTTATGTATAGGTATGCAAATCCTGCAGATATGCGAGTTCCTCTGTGGCATATTGGACTTGCATATAAGCACATATTACTTTTACTCATATCTACATATTAAATTAGTATTCCCCCTGAAAAGCAGTTAAGTTAATTTTTCTAAAATTTCAAGTCCAGAGGAAGCTTTTAAAAAACAATAATAACATTCTGCTAGCTGTTCCACAAACTGCCAATGAAAAACCATCCTGAGACATCCATACTGTGTCTCTGTTGTTTTTAAATCATATTCATACTAAACAACCCATGCAAACAACAACAGCTGAAAGGTCTGATGCCGAAGCAGGGAATATTTTTTTCCTGCATGCAATGACAGCAATCCTTGATATGCTGGTAAAATTCCTTATTTCAACTACCAGAACAGCAATACCTTCCAATAAGCAGTGTGACCTGTTTAATACAGAAAGCTAGGACTTTACATTCAACCATAACATTAGGATGCTCTGATGGCCATTACAGAAGGGCTCCATGTAGTGAAAGTAAGAATAATAATATTAAAAATGGAGAACTTCCTTTTGTAATCAGGAAAGAAAACTAAGTCAAGAGCTGTGAAAAACAAACAAATCAACACAAGGCTTTCTGGTTTATGTGAGCTTCAAGTTCCAGTCCTGAAAGGCCTGCTTTTTCAAGGACAGGATGTTTCTTTTAATGATAGCTGAGCAATGCACAAATAGCAAGTGCAGTATTACAGAGGATCAGATTCTTTGCCTGTGCCTATCTTTGATTTCAAATGAAGCAGCTCAGAATCTACTTCTGAAACATCAAGACTAGTCCTGGGCTTATCCCACTTTTGCTTTACTGGCCAAAACATGATGACACATCTGCTATTTTTTCCTCAAAAGTCATCATGCTACGAGTATAAACACACCTATTTGTATCACAACATCAATCTTCTATAGTACAAGGTGTTCTCTCAATGGACAGTCATAGAAGCTATGAGCAGACTGCTTGCTTTGCAAGCACACAAATATTTCCAAACATTTATTTCTTTTACTTTACTTGTATTTCTTTTCCATTTTCATTCCCTTCCCTGTACAGAACCCAAACAAAAAGGATTTTCAAGACAGACATACACAAATGCTACTCCTAAGGAGTTTTTAACCTCTTGTAGTACAGGGTCTGATCCCATTCCCATAAATGTAAATATGAATTTGCCACTGATACTGAAAACAGATCAGGTTCACAATCATTGTTGGGGAAGAAAAAAACCTGACACAATGTGCTTTAAAAAAGGCAGGGGGGGAAAGGCATACATTCCAAAACCAGAGCATAAACTAGACTGTCAATAGATCACCCTTTCAGTGAATACGTCAGTCCAGTGACAATGCAGTAGTGCATTGAGCAATCATCAGTAACGTCTAATATTATTTAAAATCCTCTATTTATTTCCTGCTATTCCTTACCAACCCTGGAATGGACCCGGTACCTCCACTGGAGGATGTGTAATCCTTGGGTTACTTTCATTTTAGAGTCTCCCATTCTTCAGCAAATACAACAAATGCTGCTTGACATGCAATAGTTTTGTAATCCATACAAGTGATTCTCAGGGGAAAACACACAAAATAAAGCAAGAGAAAAACCCCAAGAGTTCTCCAGTTCTACTTTCAGCTATGGTCAGAAAGCTGTTCACAAGTTTATCAGAAATTATCCAATCTTTCCTGTTAAATACAGCTGGACATACATACGCTGACACAAAGAAGCCGCTCTAGCAAATTTAAGTAATTGGTCTCCAAATTACTTCACAAAGTTGCAGACTAACAGAGTCACCAGCAAGAAATACTGAGTCCATCTACTTTGTGTATATTGAGATAAATCTGAAATCAACTGAGTTACACCAGGAAACTGATTTTACATCAGAGTAACTGAGGATAATTTGGGCCATTTATTTTAATTGACCTCAGAATCCCTCTTGAAAAAAAAATCTGTTGTAATGGGTAGTGTTGTGAAAAGATCATTGATTTCTTATCAATCCCACTGAAAAATAACCCACTAGTACAATGCTTAACGTAGTGCAAATACACTTACACAAATACAAAAATGCCCTATACTCTCACTCCCCACTATTCATCACTTCTCGGACAGCGAGACAAGAGGCTTAATCCTGAGTAAAACCAAAGCTGCTGCTGTCTCCACCGTTTTGTTAATTACAAGACGAGTTTTCATTAAATCTCAAACAACAAGTGGTATGTGATCATCAGTGCAATGGAAATCCTCCTATTACTTCTCAACAGTACAGGAACTGAGCTCCTCTGCCACAACTCTGGATACAGCACCTTTCACTGGCAAAAGTTGAACGACATCCTATTGAAAAGGAGACTTTGGTTTCAAGAGACAAAGGTCAGCTTTGGTTGGGCGCACCGCAAATGGTGTGTTAAGGAATCCTAAATTGGAACGTTACCGAGCTTTTTTGATCAGCAACAGAGAAAAGTCCCTCATCTCTTCCTTTTTCATCTCCCCACACAAGAAAAAGAGAGATGTGTCATACATACCGTCAAACTTCTCTGGAACGACGCAAGTGTCATCATAAAACTGCCTAGGTCCCTTTTCATACATACAGCCTGTAAGTTAAAAAGAGAGAGGTGTTTATATAAAAGATGCATGGAGAAAGAAGAGATCATAGGCTTAATGCCAGAGGGAACACGAAGTCATAGAGGAATCAGATTAATATCCCACATCCTTTACACACCACCCGATAGCAACATTTTGGCCTCAGTACAGGGGTGTTTAATTAATGTGTGCATTCCCAAAAGACTTGTTTATCTCCACCTGCAAAAATGAAAAAGCACCCATTTTTCTCTATGATTTATTCCAAAATGTTTGTCTCATTTCCTGTTTGAACTAGCATGGCTTTTACTTTAACCATTAGTTCCTGCAGGTCTTCTCCCTGAGAGACTAAAAAAACCCCACTTGGTATTTCCTCCCTATTCTCACAGCAGTCACCCCCTTGATGTTTCTTCCAATTAAGAACATTCTGTTAAATTTAATTTTTGTTGTTAAAAGACACTCTCTGCAGCCCTGCGTTCTTTCTAGCACTCTCTTCTGTACGCACTCCTACTTTTCAGTATCATTTTAATGTTTTGCTTAACCAGAACTGTATTGCATGCCAGCATCAGCCTCACCAGTGCTACTTAGCAAGACAAAACATCTCCTCCTCTCTTGCCTCCCTATGACCCTCCTTTTGACTGCGCAAATATTACAGAAGGCCTTTTTGCCATACAGTTGCAATGTTTGGTTGGGCTGGTTTCCCACTGTGAAGCCAAGGAGGAGGAGATCCATCTCAAAATCATTTTTTCCAATATACTGTTTCCCGGTTCCATAGGCCTGGTCTACATTCAGCATATTAAAGAAACATTTTGTTTCATGTGCCCAGATTACCAAACAATTCAAATTGCTTTGTGTGACTGCCCTGTCCTGCCCATTATTTACCACTCTGCCTATCTTTGTGCCATAAAGTTATCTATTAACTTTGTTCTGTATCTTTACTGAAAATGTTGAATAGCAACACTCCTGATATCAATTCCTACAGAACTATAATCGAAACAATCCATTCAGAGATGATTGCCCAGTGACAGCCACTTTTAGATCTGTCAGTTGGCCAGGTCTTAATGTATTTAATGTGTACTTTATTGATACTGCTTTGTGCTAACTTCTTAATCAGAATGTAATGCAGTGGCAAATTGAATGCCATAAAAAGTCTAACTATATGATACAAGTATCTTAATCAATCAAACTTTTAATCTCAACAAAGAATAGAATCAGATTTGACATGACCTTTATTCCATACATCATGCTGACTGATTTCCAAATACAGAAAACAAATATTTATCAAACATCACTGCTTTTCTACGTCATTCATAACAATCTTACCACCTCCAAGTACTTATGAGTGCATTAACATGGCTAAGATTGTTTTTCCCCTATCTAGGCTGTGATTAAAACTCAAATCTGTTGACCTTAGCTCTGCAGTTTGTGGATTTTTCCCTGATGTCTTTCACCTCCTTTATCAAGCTTCTATACTTCATATAATTTCATATATGAAGACTGTTATAAATTTCCATCTCTTGTTTCACCTTCCTTGTTGAATACTACCTTTTATTTCTATTTTCTGCCTTTATTCCACCCCAGAAGCAGTTGGGTTTTTAGCCAGATTTGTTATCTTTCCAGTTGTGTCTTTTCACTAGTGAATGAAGGCTTACTAGAGGACTTTGATTCATACACCTGTCTGAGTTCTCATCAATCTCAAAAACAACTTCCCTCATGTTTGTGAAATTTGCCCCTTGGAAGAAAAACAAATAAACCCTAAACAAACAAACAAAAAAATCATATATTGACAAGAAAGATACACCAAAGCAAGACAGCAGAGTGTACAACCTCTCTTTCAGTGGTCATTTTTTCTTAGTTCTGTTAGTCATCTTATTTTTAATACATATAAAGGGCTTTTACTCAGAATTATTAATTTTGACAGTGAACTAAGCTCTGCCCTACTGAAGTCACTGAGAGTTTTGGTATATATCATATGGCTGTACAATTTGGGCCTAAGGAGCACCAAAACATTGCAGAAATTGTAACAAAAGGAAAAGCCAAAAACCTTCATTGAATTTTAAGTATAAAATGGATTACTTAACAGTTAACTGAGCCTGTCACACCAATAGCCTGGAAAATACCACTTGAGCAGAATGGGTGAAATGGACAAATTTTTAAGCGTCTCTTCCTTTCAACTGCTAGAGGCCTTGAAAAGCAGAATGAGTAAATTCATAATACAATTGCTTCTATCCTGATCAACCTGTAACACTAGAAGCAGCTACAAAAAAATCAGTGCATTAGAAACTCAAGACTGGGAAGAGAAAGAAAGATGATGCGAGTCTTCCCAGCAGCAGAATTTAACCACTGAACCCCAAATCCCTCCAGGCTTTTGAATTTTTTACGTTTCTCTTGTACAAAAGCGATACATAATAGAAAACTTAACTTCTGTTCTGTTTGGGTGAGCCAGGAAGCCTTCTTGCCTCATGTAAATGGAATGGCAGCTAGGCACTTCTGAAAGGAGAAGACGACAATGCTAGTCAAAAGACTGTCTGGAATTAAAAGTGTGCAGGTTATCAATGAGACAGGCTGCAGGCAGAAGAGCAACAAAAAGGGTGCAAGTTACAGCAAGGGGGAACCTGTCAACACACAGTTAGCATTTCAGAGCAGCACGCACAAGGCATGGCAAAGGAGCAAATCGTAACGTGGTGATCACAGATCCCATCTAACTGAACATCTAGCTGAACTCAAACCCTTATTATAATGAACTTTGCTAAAAGATGACTCCCATGACAATGACACTTTAGACCGTTCACAGACCAAAAAATGCACACAAAACAGTATCAGTATTTTAAACCCTGTGCTTGTATATCTGTCTTTGTAGCTACTTTGACCTAACATTTTTAATCAATTACATAGAAAAGCCTGCCAATCACACTGGTGACTTATAAAGTCTACATTATTACAAGGAATGTCAGAGTAAATTTAGAGTAGGATATTGCTTTTTAGATTCGAGTTAAGGATTTGAAGGGTTAATGAAATTTTCTGTGATTGCTAAGCATTTAATCTAGGCATTCAGATGCATCAATTTCACTCTCCACCTGTACAACCCTAACCAGAAAAGAGCCCCCCTGAAAGAAAAAAAAAATATTGCGCACATTCTAAGTAATACAGACACTTATTTGCCATTCCCCACTTCTACTCAAATCTGCAAGAAGAATGAGAAAAAACCAAACAGAACTAATGAAAATGCTGTTCTTTAAATGTCTTTCTACTTTTTCCCCATGTCTTGCACTGTCCCCAAGTAGCCACATCCTGTGCACAGGGACTTGCAAACAGAAACACACCATAAATGTTTGCCCTTCTAGACCATGTTTAACCCACTTCTTGGATATCAAAAGTCTTGCTTAACAAAGCCTATTTGATCTTGTGATAAACTCGTACCCTAAACTATGCAATCTGTTACCAGTAACTTGTAACTCTTTAAGAGATGCAGAGAGGTCAAAAGAGCAGACGTTATTTTTCCAACACTGCCTACAGACTCTTTCAGACTGTGATTCCACATTTCACTGTTCACTGACTAGTGATGAGTATCAAAGATCTGGCAGGATAAGAAAATGAGGTTTTACACTGACTTCACAAAACAAGTGAAAGACAGGGCAGTAATAGTAACTTTCCTCTAACAGTCCACAGTCTCTCTTGCACATCTGTGACGAACTCTTCATTACCTCCTCTCTTGATGAAACGCCCAGTGCCTGCCTGCTCAGGCCTTGAGAATCTCTAACGCCTCAGGCAGCTATTCTGAGCAACCACAGGAATCAGTGATTCAGTGATGACCCGAGTCAAGTATAGCTCTGTAGACTAGAAGTCAAGGCTACAAGTACTGGTTCACCTGCAAGGAATCACTCATGTTACCAAGTAAATTGAATTTTAAGAAGAATGGAAAAATCTACGTAAAAAAAGAGGAAGTTGGAGAACTGAAACAGATGCTATTTTCTATTTTAGGTAAAAATTCACTAGTATTGGCAGCAAAACCCTTTTTGACTCATGAACTCCACTCCTGCAAAGTGATACAGCAGAGTATACAGAATAAAGAATTATGCATGCATCCAAGACGTTGTGTTCTTAGCCAACTTGGGGTTTCATCTCCCATGCTCCTAAGTCAATTATAATTAACATCTGGAGTCTTTTTAAGGCAAGCATTGTTTGTACCAACATTACTTAATCTTCTGGTTAGCTTGTGCTTAAACAGTCCACAGAGGACCGAAAAATACAGCAAGGAAGAGTTTATTTCTGGTAAAGTAACTAGAGTCTTGTTATCCTAAAGTGCTATCAGTTAATTTATGACTATCAGAGTGGGTCAGACTCTAATCAAATTGTAGAAACATTTCCAAAGTGATTATTCAATCAAATGACTAACATGGTTAATTAGGAGCCATAAACATTGCTCTGAAGTTCATCAAAGTAATGACTTGCCCAGAAAAATTACTGCTAATTAAATTGCCTGCTGCTTTCATTTCTACCTTATCTAATAAAAAGTCCAACCAATGAAATTTAGCATTGCAGTTTTAAATTGTACTAAATGCTTGACTAAGACCCAGAAGTATTTTTACTAGCTAAGCGGAGCTACTTCAAAAGAAAACATTTTAGTGCAGAAATTACAGAGCAATTATATGTTTTCTTGTCCTTAAAGCATTGTTTCAAGACAATAAATAAGACAGCATTAGGCATAAAATACTTCCAGGGCAGGATCCAAGTGTTCGAGGTGACTGATTCTATCACCTTTTAGCAATTTTTAGTCTTTGAAGAAAAATGTGCCTGGATTTAGGACACACAACAAGCTTATTTCAGACTTTTAATGAAGTAATTCACATTGTAAAGTTACATCATCTCAAGAACAGCGGAGTCCCTTTAAAAAAAAAAAAAACTAAAAATATGGAGACATAAAAAAATTAATTTATCCTTTTTTATTAATTTGGAATACTTAGAGGTCATTCTTCACTGCTCCTCTTGCTAACAGCAACATAGCAGTCACCTTAAAACAATGAATATGGCCTTACATCATGTTGGTTTGAAACTATTTTTTCCCAGTAGGTGTTATTTTAAAATTGTGTGTAATCTAGACACTGCAGAATTGCCTTCTCATCTGGGAATGACACAGAGAAAAATACTAGAAATAATCTCTGCTGTGCCTTAATCAAAATACATCAAAGCAGAAAAAGCCCAAACAGACTTCCTCAGGACAAGAAAAATCTGCTACTGAATTTAGGAGGCACAGGTTCTAGGTTTCATTATCAAGTAAGCCACTTGAGTGGTCCCTTGGTAAGGAAGTATTTCATATTAACTACCATATCAGAATTTAAAGGGTTAGGTCGTCTCAGCCCTGTATAACTCAAAGCGGATAAGGAATCCTTAAATCCTCTTTTCCACTTGCTTTTCAGATAAGGACCAGGTTTCAGACCCACAATCACACCCTGTGCAGAAACAAACAGAATTTCAGCCCACGTCCCTAACCAGGTGAGACATGGGGAAGACGAAGCTTCTGCAGGCAATGGGATGAAGTGACTGTCTTCTCCTGAATGAAGCAAAGCAAAGCAGGAACTAGAAACCTGAACTAGGATTTATTCTTCAGCCATTCCTGTGGCTCTGACCTTACATAGCCTACCTACCTAAGGACACGTTGTTATGTTATACTCTAACTCTGAATTACTTTTTAGTTCACTTTATCAACACCATCTGAAGATTTGGAGGCCCAAGGCACTGCCCATGTGCATGTGACAAAGCACAGTGCAATACAGAGGTATTGCATCACATACGTGCATGTGCAGAAGAGTTGGGACACCAAGGCCTAAAAGGTGCATACAATCTGAAACAGGGTGGGTAAAGAAGTTGAGCTACCTGCCTAGCCTTGGTCTCTGTGGGCAGCTCAGGTGAATGATACAGTATACTGCTGAGCGGCTGCCTTACGCACTGAGCCTGCTTACAAGTCACAGAATCATTTAGGTTGGAAAAGACCTTTAAGATTGAGTCCAACTGTAAACCTAACGCTGCCAAAGCCACCACTAAGCCATGTCCCTAAGCACCATGTCTACATGTCTTCTAAATACCTCCAGGGATGGTGACTCAACCACTTCCCTGAGAAGCCTGTTCTAATACTTGATAACCCTTTCAGTGAAGAAATTTTTCCTAATATCCAATCTAAACCTCCCCTGGCACAACTTGAGGCTGTTTCCTCTCGGCCTATCACTTGTTACTTGGGAGAAGAGACCAACACCCACCTCGCTACAATCTCCTTTCAGGTAGCTGTAGAGAGCGATAAGGTCTCCCCTGAGTCTCCTTTCCCCCAGGCTAAACAACCCCAGCTCCCTCAGCCGCTCCTCACAAGACTTGTTCTCCAGACTCTTCACCAGCTTCGTTGCCCTTCTCTGGACACGCTCCAGCACCTCAATGACTTTCTTGTAGTGAGGGGCCCAAAATGGAACACAGTATTCCAGGTGCGGCCTCACCAGTGCTGAGTACAGGGGAACAATCACTTCCCTGCTCCTGCTGGCCACACCATTCCTGATACAAGCCGGGATGCTATTGGCCACCTGGGCACACTACTGGCTCATATTCAGCCGGCTGTCGACCAACACCCCCAGGTCTTTTTCGGCCAGGCAGCTTTCCAGCCACTCTTCCCCAAGCCTGTAGCGTTGCATGGGGCTGTTGTGACCCAAGTGCAGGACCCAGCACTTGGCCTTTTGAATCTCATACAATTGGCCTCTACCCATTGATCCAGCCACTTGAATTCATCAAACACCTCAACTCATATGTGAAATTTGTCTCCTTCCCTACAGGCATAAAATAAAGTGATGACACTAAAAATGGAACCTTCTTATTGTTTGCCCACCTACTTCTCCGATTTACACTTTATTACCAACTAAGTCATACTAAGAACAGAAGCAGTTCCCAATGGATACAGCCAGGCCTGTAATTTAACTTACACCATATCCTCCTCAATTGTCCTTTCAGTCTGAAAAGTAATTACATGGGGTTTGGCTCCTATTTCAGCAATTCAGAGTTGGTATATCTATACAAACAGACTTAAATGTGCTGTGCCACTTGTCTTCCCATAGGCGAGAAATACAGCGCATGCAGATTCTTTCCCTTTGTGCTACCGGGCACAGAAGGGCACGCACAAACCCCTCGGGTAGCTGGGACCAACCCAGCTCCCAGGCGCCACTCACACGTGTCAGCCTGACCCTGTGCTACACACACGGCAAGTATGCCAGTGCTCCCTCCAGTGCCTTGCAGGGCTTCGCCAAGTACTTCCTCACGCAATGCAAGCGTTTCTCTGGTACATGGAGAGGTGGTTGGTGCTTTGGGAGAGATTCTTACCAAGTGCAGAGACAAGGTAGCCTTTTTAAAATAAAATGTTTTCAGCTAGAACACATCATACTTCTGGCCTCAAACTTACTAACATCACAATCACACCGCAAGTAACTTCTGTTCATGGATTTCCAAGAGCACTGACA